CATCCCGGCATCAAGCTGCCATGGCTTTGAACCGTGTCTGTGAGCATCTGTATTTTTTCCCAATGTATTTTGTGTATCTGCTAGCAAGATGTGTCCTAAGGCATAAGAGAGGTTGTTTGGGGGCCTGAGAAGTTATTTTTGGGGGCCTGAGCATATAAATTAATGGTAATGCCTTCCTTGCTTTACACCATTTTGGCTTGTGAAAGGTTTCATAGGAACGCTCTGCTATCAGAGAGCAAACCTGTATTTACTCAGAATGAACATGATCGGGAAGCACTTACCTCAGGCTATACTGTCCAGTAGGGACACTAACCACTAGCCACAGGTGACTACTGGAATTAAAATTAGTTACAATCAAATAAAATTCACAATCCACACTAGCCACATTCCGGGTACTCAGTGGCCACACTGACTAGCAGCTCCCACATCAGACAGCACTGGGATGAAGATTTCCATCCTTGCAGAAAGTTCTGTTGGCTAGCAAGGATCTAGAGCTTACTCTCACCTCTCCTGGATAGGGTGTGCTCTAGAATTTCAGAAAGCTCTTGACTCCAGCACGCTCCGTTCCGTCGCTGTGGCTGTTGCAAGGGCACAGAGAAATGAAATAAGACAGACCTAGGATTAATCCCTGACTTTGCCATTTACTAGTTTTGTGGCCTCGGAGAAGTCACCGAGCTCTCTCTGCCTCTGTTTTCTCATCTGTGAAATGGGGGCGGTATTCCCCTGCTCCCCTGGCTCCTGGGAGGATTACATGAGGCAGGGCAGTGAGTCACCAGATGAAGAGCCCGGCACACAGTTCTATGGCTAGCCACCCCAACTCTGGCTGCGTCTTTTTGCAGCCGCTCACCCACAAAAGCCCGTATCTCTGGTCTCTACTGTGTTCAGACCTGTGTCGGGTTCCACAGTCTATTCAAAGGGAGCACAAGGCTTAATTCTAGAAGAGATTGCAATCTAGGTGGGAGGGCAAGGTAAGTGCATGAAGCAACCTGAAAACAATTCTGAGGCAATACATAGGACAGCATATCATCCAGTACCGTGAGGCCCCACTGGGAAGGCGTTGTGTAGGGCCAGGAGGTTCATGGGAGAGGGCTCTTGCTGGAGGGGGGGTGGGGGGGAAGGATGTGGTCTGCAAGGCAGCATAGGCGGGGACGGGCAGAGCCGATGGCAGAGGAGTGGCCCTGGAGGACGGTGCTGGGCCAGGGGAACAGCACGAGCGAGGGCGGACGCGGAGGTGGGCCAGGGAGTGGCCCCAGCTAACATGCGCGTGTGCATGCGAGGGGCAGTGGAGCTGAGGGTTTTGTGGAGGGAGAGCCAGGAGGCTTTGCCAAGAAAATCCCTCCGCTCTCGGGAGCCTGGCTGAGTTGCTTGAGTTTGATGAAGTAGGTGGCTGCCAGGCAGGTGGGGCTCGGCGCTGTGAAACAGGCCTGGGGAAGGTCCCGTTGGCGGCACCGGTAGGAGGGTCTGTGAGGGAGATCCTGAAGTCAAGGTGATGGTCAGAGACCTTTACTGAGCGCTGTCCGCATACCCTGAGCTCAAATTGCTGGATCCCAACATGTTACCCAGAAAGGGCACTCCATTGGCTTGTGCAAGTAGTCCAGGCGGCAGTGGGCAGTGGGTGGATAGCGGGAGGAAGCAGGATGGAGGAAATGCATTCACAGCATATGCAAATCGGAGCCCCAGCTCTGCTGAGGAAAAGAACAGGATGAGGGCTGAGACTGGAGGTAGCAGTGAGGAGAGGAGGGAGGGGACTCCAGCTGGGCTCTGAGAAGCAGGTGCTCATGGTGTTGAAGAGCAGGCTGGCAGGGCCAATCAGAGACCAGGCAGAAGCCTCTCTCCACAGGTGCACACACCTGTATACCTACAAGTACATGGGTGTAGCCCCCCAATTTACACGTGCATGCTAATCATACCCAGAGACCCTTAAGGAAACATGCACACGCACATGTACGCAAATGCACGTGGACGCACACATGCAGGCACACACCAACACACATGTGCGTATACACGTGTTCTCCACCACACCCCACCCCCCACCCCCGCCCAGTCCAGCCTCTCCTAGGGCTGGAGCTGGGGCTGGCATTGGGTTTACGGCAACCAAGCCAGGAAGAATCTGTCCTGCCTGGGCACCGAGTCCATTTCGGATGGAGCCTTCTCCAGCCTTTCCTTGTAAACACTATTTATTTTGGAAAGCAACTTCTCTGTTTTCAAATAAAAAGCTGGGACATGTGGTATTGAATTTCCCTGATCTGACATTGACCTAGAAAAATGTGCTGGCAGGAACAGAAAATGCGCTGCCCCACTGTGCTGGCAGGCACAAGTGAGTTTCGCTCTTCTTGGCTTTGACTGCAAAGGTTAAGGTGCAAACGAGGGGCTAGTGCTGCCTCCTTGTGCGAGCAGCGTTCTCCCTGCAGGGCTGGGGGAAGCTGAGGCCTGAGTCTGGGGGCTTCCTGCAGGCCTGGGTGCTCATGGTGTTGAAGAGCAGGCTGGCAGGGTCAATCAGAGGCAGCTCTGGAGGGGCAGCTGATCACGGGGGCCAGTGACAGGGGCCAGCAGGCAGAGCTGCTCCAGTCCATGCAAAGCAGGTATGGGGCCCAGCTAGGGGGATCCCCAGAGTCATCATCGGGGGACGGGCAATGCAACTTCAGCTCTGGATGAGGTTTGAAACGGGCTCCTGTCTCTTGAAGGAGAACAGGCTTTCAGGAGACAGAGAGGCCACGACGGTCTGGTGAAGGTCAGGGTCTGCTCCAGGCCTGCCGGGGGCCTGGGTACTAGTTATATAGAATCCAAGCAGAAGCTCTGCACCATGGTGGGAACATGAGCACTCACAGTCCTTTTAGGGGCACGGGGTCCTGATCTGATGGGCATCAAAGGAGGCTGAAGAAGCAATATGCAATCCACTGCCCCACAGAACCCCTCAGAATCCCCCAGCCAAGTGGGTGACTTAATTCTCTGCCTGTTGAGACCAGGCTTCACATTCTGCCCGTTTTCCCCATGGCCTCTTGTGAGGATGAAATGAGATCAGAAATGTAATGTGCCCAGCCAGGGCCCGTAACACAATAAGTGCTCAGCGAATCTGAGATCATATCCTGGCTTCACCACTGACTCGCTGTGTAGACTAGGACAGCCTACCCACCTGTGCCTTAACTTCCTCATGTGTAGAAGGCAGGTAATAATAAAACGTACTTCACGGAGCTGTTGGGGATCTGATGAGTTAATACACATAAGGCACTGTGAATAGTGCCCGGCACTTAATAAGCACGATGAAATGTTTGCTTATAAATTAAATATTATTCTTAGTGATTTATTCTTGCATGCATTCACTTATTCATTCAGCAAGTATTTATGGAGGGCCTGCTACGTGTCGATACTGTTCAGGCCCTGGGAATACAATGGTGAATAAGAGACAAACTCCGTGGTAGGTAGAATGATGTCTGCCCCACCCCCTGGATGTCCATGTTCTAATTCTGGACCGGGTACATAGGCTGTGCTACGTGCAGGGGAGGGTGGGCAGGTTTAAGATTGCAAATCAGCTGGTCTGAAGATAGATTACCTTGGGGAATGGGGTGGGGGGGCAGGAGGCTCAACATAATCACCAGGGTCCTCCTAAGTACAGGAGGAAGACAAGAGAGGCAGAGTCAGATATGTGAGGGCCAAGCAGAGGTCAGAGCGATGGGATTTCGGGCTTTGATGATGGAAGAGGGCCACGAGCCAAGGAGTGTGGGTGGCCTGAAGAAGCTGGAAAAGGGAAGGAGCTGGATTCTCCCCTGAAGCCTCCAGAAAAGAATGCGGCTCTGCCCCTGATTTTAGCCCAGTGAGCTCTCTGCCTTCCAGAACCGTAGGATAATAAATCTGTGTTGTTTTAAGCCACTAAGTTTGTGGGACTTTGTTATAGCAGCAATAGGATACGAACCTAAATCCTTCCTCATGGAGCTTACATTCGTCCAGGGGGAGTAGATAGTAAGGAAGTAAATAAGGAAATAAACATGGTGTGTGGGATGGGCATTTTCTCTTCTTTCTCTGCGGTGGTGAGCCTGGCTGCTGGGCACAGATGTAACTGCAGGGAGCAGGGGGCAGGACAGGCTGGAGGGAGCTTGTCAGGCTGCCGTCCCCCCAGTATGGGCACCTCCACCCATCATGCCCTTCCATGTGGCCGAAGGGCAAGGGCTGCTCGGGGCCAGTGCTGCCAGGCTCTGGTGGGACACACAGCTGGGGATCCGGGGATCCGGGGCTGGGGAGGGGCAGGTGTGCAGGGTCTGGTGCAGGAGTGGTTGGGGCTGCTGCAAGAATTAGCTGGCTCCTGGGGGGGCCTGCTGGTGAGGTGATGAGAATGATGAAAATGTGGGATTTGTCAGAGCCAATCAGGAGGGTCGCCTCTGTGAGAACCTCTCCAGGTTTTTGTAGTACAAGCTCTTGATTGAGCATAATGAGCAGCACCCAGAATCGGTTCTGGGTGGTTTTGCTGTAAACATCTTTGCCGCAGGCGTTTTCACTGCATAACTAATTGACCGTAAGACAGTTTTGCAGTAAAAGATAAAACAATGGGCTGGCTGGTTACATTCCTCCATTGATAAATCCACTGCCTTCTGCAGAGCTAATGTATGGAAGCTGGTTGTCAGTTGGGTTTTATTGCTCCATTGACAAAGTTCTCACTTTTAGACTCTCCTCATCCTCATTTCGCTCTGGGGGCTTCTCTTACCCGCCGCCGCCGATGGTCTGGAAGCTGATGGTCCTCCTTCTGGAATGTGGCCAAGTCAATGGCAGCCCAGGGCGCCACAGTGTCTAGGTCATTCCTCTCACTTTGTGTCCTCACGGAGGCGTTTTATCCTCTCCCATTATCGCAGGAAGAAGGGTGAGTACAGGACAGTAAGATATGTTGAGAGGGATACATTCACATAACCGTTCTATTCTATGCTTGGTAATTGTTAATCTCTTACTGTGCCTCACTTAGAAATTAAACTTTATCCTGAGGAAAAAACAGTCCATCTAGGTAGCGTCGGCGCCTTCAGGCATCCACTGTGGGTCTTGGAGCTGCAACCCCCCGAGAAGGGGCGGACTGTCTGTAAATCTCCGCTGGCCTTCGGAGTGGTCTGTACCGTGACCAGTGCAGGGGGTGGTCTTAAAACGGTGGATGGTAACAGCCGCAGAGACCACCTTGCTAGAAAATCCCGTGACAAGCTTCCGGGAGGTGTGAAACACAGAGTGGAAGGCCAGACTGCAAGCCACAGTCCACCGGAGGAGAGGACCCCCCGGACCCCCCGAGAGCAAGGCTCAGTCACAAATGGCTTAGCCTCAGCCTTTTGTCCACACGCCCGGGACCAGCCGTCCTGTGGGAGGGTTTCACAACGCCTTCCGGGGTCGGTTACAAGTACGCATCCTAGGATTTGGGAAACGGATACCTCTCCTGATGAAGGAAGAAATGAATAATTTTATTAACTTTTTCATGTTTCATTGTGCCTTTTAAATGCCCCTCTTTTAGGTTTCGTTATTTTATCTTTTACGGCAGAATTGCCTTACGGCAAATCAGTTTTGCGGCAAAGACGCTTACGGCGGAGATGCTCCTGGCGAAACACCAGACGTGCCAAGAAATCCTGCCTTAAGGAGGCTGCAACATGCCGCTTGGCTTGGCTTTCATCTTGCCCAGCTGCTTACCAAAGCCTTCCTCTTTCCTCTTCGAGGCCTTTAATTGGCAGGGCTGAGCCCAGAGAACCACCTCAGGAGATGGCCGAAGCCTGGCTTGAATCCGGCCTCCCCAGCTCCTCCCTACCCGTCACTGAAGTCGGCTCCATCCTGAGCTGGAGGACCCGCAACCTACCACCAGGTGGGGGCTGCTACTCAGGTGTAGACTTTGAGTGAGTGGTGCCTTGTGGCCTATGTTCAGGAATTCACCGAAGGGGCATCATCCCCATGGTAGATGGACTCTAATTTATGTGAGTGCACACTGGATGGCACAGAGACCCTGGGTAGGTAGATAGGTAGGGGGGGAAGAGCTGTCTTTGACCTAAATTCACAACGGCACTTGGGCCCGTGCATAAACTCTGCATACATGTGTGCATCCACCACTGCCTGCCCTCCAGCTGCCCTTTGCGGTCTTGCTGATGGCCTTTGATGCCTGATTCCCAGGCCCTTGAGACTTTGAACTTGACTTGATTGCCTCACCTCACCAGGGGTGGGTGGGGAGGGGAGCGTGTGTGCTGTTGTCCATAGGTGTGCCCCCGTGGGATGTGTGCATTTGGAGCGGGGCCGCTGCACACCCGGCAGAGCTGTGTTAGGTTATGCGGGAATATACTAACTTGATCTTTCTTTTTTAACCTGAAGAAGGGGCATCCTTTCCTAATTTGCATGAAGGTGTCCTATGGGCCATCCAGGCCCTGACCTGGCTCACAGAGATGCAGCCTTTACAGCCATGATCTGTGTGGTGAGGCCTCACCCTTTACGTCCCTGTATAAAATTTCAGTTGTTTAGTAGCTATGGTCCTGCTCCCTGGGTCAGCCTTGACTTGGACTCTAACTCTTATTACTCATCTGAGTCTCTTAACCCTGAGGCTGGACCCAGAACTCTGCCCCTGCCTGGCGTCTGCTATATCTGAGCTCACTGTCTGCAGCTTACCTGCCTTTCAGAGTTCTCAGCCAGGGGCAAAGGCAGTGTTTGCATGGCCAGGGAGGGGCAGAAAACTGAGTTGAGAAAATACTTCTAAAGCCAGACCTAGGGAAGGGGTAGAGTCTAAACTGGGACAGCCTTTCTGGGGAGCAGTTTGGCAATATGGATGGATTCACATCCTTGGATGCAGTGATTCTGCTCTTGGGAATTTGTGCTTAAGAGAGAATCAAAGATGTGTGCACAGATTTTGCCGAAGATGTTAGTTGAAGCATTGTTTGTGCTAGCAGTGGTTGAAAATAACCCAAAAGTCCATCAAGAGAAGGAGTGACTGAATCACAGAGGGTCCTCAACTTTCACACATAGGAGTGTTCCCAGAAATCCATCCAAGTGTCACATGTTTGAATCTTGGACAATAGCTTATTTTGAAAAACTAACAATGGCTCTTAAAGTTAGGAGAGACGTTACTATCCTCCCCTACTTTAAAAACATTATCGATTCATGGAATATGCCTTTTAAGACACAGTCTTGAATAATATGTGTCTTAGTTTGGGTTTCCCCCAAAGTAACACCTGTGATAACAATTTGCGGGTGGATGGGAGGCCAGGCTGGAGTACGCGGAAATGGGAAATGCTGAGGGGATATGGTGAGGCGCTCATCGGGTCTGTTATGGTACGTCTCTAGATTTTGTATGTTTTCCCTGATTCTTGTCCCTTAACAGTGGAACCTACAGGTGACTAGCCAATCCAGAGGGTGCTCATTTGAGAATGAAGACTTCCCACGTGATTTCTGATCTTGTCACAGTTTGATGATTACTACATCAACATTTCTACTTTCCTCGGGTTTTTATAAAATTGTAAGTACCAAATGCCATCTCCAAGTAATCTGTTAACTCAGGTGGGCTAGAAACATACATTTCATTATTTCCATTACCTGAAATGAGTTTTATTTTAGACTCATATCACTGAATGAGGGAAATTAATCCCCATAAGTACGGGGGCTGCCTCGACCCTTTTCCTAGGGCCTGGGAAGGTGTATAGTGCCAGATGTTGGTTGCAGGGTGGGGTGGTGGGGGTTGCAGTGAGGCGGTGGAAGGTTGTCTACACTGAGAGGCCTCCTCGCTGCTGGGTCACTCGTCCACACCAGCTCATCCATCCCGAGTCCCTCTGAGTCCACTGGCTCTGTGGCAGTGATCCCATGCCCTCTCAGAGGCAAGGGCATCATTCAAATGCCCTTGGCTACACTGAAAGCAAAGGCTGTTTCCCTCTGCTTTCTGAGATCAGTCCCTACAACATCTGTGTGTGACACTGTCCTTTCCCTCGCCCACCCCTACACGAAGGGACTCTGCCCGGGAGAGGGAGGGCCGGGGAGGGGACAAAGTGTGCCGGAGCCTCTGTTCCTGGCCTAGCCCCGCTATTTCTCTTTTTCTCCCATCAAAGAAGTTTTTTGTTTTTATTTTTGTTTTGCTTTCAAGGGTGAGAAAAACCGCTCTGTCTAGCAACTGTATAGCTCCACATCTGGTGTATTATCCATCCCAGATTCCTTTCTGTTCCTGCTGTTCTGGTTGTCTATTGTTGAATAAGAAACTACCCCGTCAGTGAGTGGTATAAGACATGTACATTTTATTTGGGTCTAGGGTTGCCAGATAAACCGTGATGAATATTTCACCTGTATGTATTTCATCTTCAAATGTTAAAAACTTAAAATTTATCTTCAAATACTATACCTATAAAAATTTAATCCCAGTTAAATTTGAATTTTAGATAAACAATGTTTTGTTTTTTTTTTAAATATGAGTATATCCCATGCAATATTGGGGACATACTTATACTAAAAAATTATTTGTTGTTGATCTGAAATTCAAATTTAACTGGATGTTCTATTTTTTTTTTTTTAAGATTTTATTTATTTATTTGACAGAGAGACAGCGAGAGAGGGAACACAAGCAGGGGGAGTGGGAGAGGGAGAAGCAGGCTTCCCACCGAGCAGGGAGCCCGATGCGAGGCTCGATCCCAGGACCCTGGGATCATGACCTGGGCCGAAGGCAGACGATTAACGACTGAGCCACCCAGGCGCCCCATGGATATTCTCTATTTTTATTTGCTAAATCTAGCACCCATATTTTGGTCACAGTCTTGTGGGTCAGGAATTTGAGTAGGGATTGGCAGGGGTAAAACATACCCTTCCACGGAGCCTCTTCATACATGTGTCTGGTGCAAGGGTGCTCTGTGGCCTCATATGCCCTCTTCACGTGAGGTCTTGTCCTCCAGGGCTTTTCCATGCACTTAGAGATTCCCACACAAGGAGGCTCTAAGACCCGGCTCCAGAAACAGGAAATAGAGGCTGTTAGCCTCTTAACGTCTTGGACCTTGCAACTGGGGCAACACCATTTCTGCCTTATTCTACTGGTAGAATCACAAAACCCACCTGGCTTCACTAGGAGGGGACATAGACCTGACCTGACCTCTTAATGGGAGCCGTCATCTTTAATGTGCCACCTCAAAGTTCGGATGTCATCTGTGTTTCTTACATTGTTCTTTTCCTAAGGCCAAGGTACCAGCTCTGTTCAGCTGCTGCTTGATTGGGTGAAGGGCCCTAGAAAAAGGGGTTGTTCAAAAGGGTATGGGAATCTCGGTTAATATTTCAATAGGTCATCCCACCAGACAACCAAAAAAATCGATAGGGCCGAATATTATATACAGGTGGTCCCTGACTTACAGTGGCTTGACTGATGATTTTTTAAATTTTACAGTGGTGAGAAAGTGATGCACATTTAGTAAGAACCATACTTTGAGTTTTGATCTTTTCCTGGGCTGGTGAGATATGGTACGGTCCTCTCTTGTGATGCTGGGCAGTGGCATCATGAGGGTAGACAACGGAACACTCACAACCATTCTCTTGTCCTACAACCATTCTGTTTTTCACTTTGAGTACAGTGTTTACTACAGGATGCCAAGTATTCGACACTTCATTATAAAATAGGCTTTGTGTTAGATGGTTTTGTCCAACTGCAGGCTAATGTTCTGAGCACATTGAAGGTAGGCCAGGCCAAGCTATGATAGGTGTACAGGCATATTCTTTTTATTGTGCTTTGCTTTATTGCACTTGGCAGATAGTGCGGTTTTTTACAGATTGAAGGTCTGTGGCAACCCTGCATGGGGCATGTCTTTCAGCACCATTTTTCCAATAGCTTCTGCTCACTTCTTGTCTGCATCGCATTTTAGTAATTCTCATAATGTTTCAAACTTTTTCATTATTTTATTTAAAAAAAAATTTTATTAGAACAAGCTGGGGGGGGGCAGGGGAGAGGGGCAGAGGGAGAGGGAGAAGCAGACTCCCCGCTGAGCAGGGAGCCCGACATGGGCCTGGATCCCAGGACTCTGGGATCATGACCTGAGCCGAAGGCAGACACTTAACTAACTGAGCCACCCAGGTGTCCCACTTTTTCATTATTTATTATGGCGATCTGTGATCAGTGATCTTTGATGTTACTGTTATAATTGTTTTGGGGTGCTGTGAGTTGCGTTCCTATAAGGTGATGAACTTAAATGTTGTATATGTTCTAACTGCTCCACCGACTGGCCATTCCCTCCCATTTCTCTCTCTCCTCAGGCCTCCCTAATCCCTGCCTGAGACACAACAATATTGAAATTAGGCCAATTAATAACCATGTGTTCAAGTCTCTCACTTTAAGTCCGAAGCTAGAAATGGTTAAGCTTAGTGAAGAAAGCATGTCAAAAGTGGAGATAGGCCAAAAGCGAGGCTTCTGGCACCAAACAGTTAAGCTAAGTTGTGAATGCAAAACAAAAGTTCTTGAAGGAAATTCAAGGTGCTACTCCAGGGAATGCACAAATGATAAGAAAGTGAAATAGCCTTATTGCTGATACGGAGAAAGTTTTAGTGTTCTGGATAGAGGATCAAACCAGCCACACCATTCCCTTATGCCAAAGCCTAATCCGGAGCACAGTCCTAACCCCCTTCAATTCTACGAAGGCTGGATGTGGTGAGGAAGCTATAGAAGAAAAGTTTGAAGCTAGCAGAGGTTGGTGCATGAGGTGTCCAGGAAAGAAGCTATCTCTGTAACATTAAAAGGCAAGGTAAAGCAGCTAGTGCTGATAAAGAAGCTGCAGTGAGTTATCTGGAAGCTATAGCTCAGATTAGTCATGAAGGTGGCTACACTAAACAGACTTTCAGTGTAGATGAAACAATCTTCTATTGGAAGAAGCTGTCACCTAGGACTTTCATAGCTACAGAAGAGAAGTCAATGCCTGGCCTCAAAGCTTCAAAGGACAGACTGACTTTCTTGTTAGGGTCAAATGCAGCTGGTGACTTTGAGTTAAAGTCATTGCTCTTGGAACATTCTGAAAATCCTGGGGCCCTTAGGAATTAGGCCCAGTCTACTCTGCCTGTGCTCAAACAAGGGAACAACAAAGCCCGGGTGATAGCATATCTGTTCGCAACCTGATTTATGAATATTTTAAGAATATTTGAGCCCTACTGTTGAGAAAAAAGATTCCTTTCAAAATCTTACTGCTCTTGACAATGCACCTGGTCACCCAAGAGCTCAGATGGAGATGTACAACGAGATGACTGCTGTTTTCATGCCTGCTGACACAGCATCCGTTCTGCAACCCACGGATCAAGGAATAATTTCAACTCTCAAGTCTCATTTAAGAAACACATTGTAAAACTATAGCTGCCACACGTAGTGATTCCTCTGATGGATTTGGGCAACATCAACTGAAAACCTCTGGAAAGAACTTGCCATTCTAGATGCCATTAATAATAGAAATCAATAAAAATAACAATAAAGAAGTCAAAATATCCACATTAACAAGAGTTTGGAAGAAGCTGATTTTGACCCTCATGGATGACGTTTGAGGAGAGACTTCAGTGGAGGAGGTAACTGCAGATTGGTGGAAAAGCTAGAGAACAAGAATGAGAAGCGGAGCCTGAAGATGGGACTGAATTGCTACAGTCTCATGATAAAACTGTAACAGATGAGGAGTTGCTTCCTGAGAAGAAGAAAAAAGGGCTTTCTTGAGATGGAATCTGTTCCTGGTGCAGGGACTATGAGGATGGTTGCAACGACAACAGAGGATTTAGAGTATCACGTAAACTTAGTTGATAAAGCAGAAGCAGAGTTTGAGAGGATTGACTCCAATTTTGAGAAGTTCATGGTGGGTGAAATGCTATCACACAGCATCGCATGCTACAGAGAAATCGTTTGTGGGAAGAAGAGTCCATGGATGCAGCAGACGTCATTGTCTTATTTTAAAGAAATTGCCACAGCCACCCCAGCCTTCAGCAACCACCACCTGATCAGTCAGCAGCCATCAACATCGAGGCAAGACCCTCCAGCAGCAAAAAGATGACTCGCTGGAAGCTCAAATGACAGTATTTTTTAGCAAGAAAGTATTTTTAAATTAAGATATCTGCAGTTTTTTTCCACATAGTGCTATTGCATACTCAATAAACTATAGTACAGTGGAAACATAACCTTTATATGCACAGAGCAACCAAAACATTCAACTCACTTTATTGTGATACTCGCTTTATTGCGGTGGTCTGGAACCAAACCTGCAGTATCTCTGATGTATGCCTGCATTTTGACTTACAATATTTCAACTTTGGATGAGTGTATTGGGATGTAACCCATGGTAGGTCAAGGAAATTCTGTAATGATTCAGAAAGATATTCATAAAATGTTAAATGTAACAAGTTACAACACTGTGTTTACAGTATGATGTTTTAAAAAAGTTACTATATAAATATTGGATAGCTATATGCAATAATGTCAGCAGTTGGTGGTTTATCTGTAAAAGGTGTGATTCTGGCACATTTTAAGCTTTCTGTTTGTGTTTTTGGTATTTTATAAAATGAATATATGTCAAGTTTATTTTAGGAATAAAAAGGTTATCATAAAACAAAACATAATCCACTGTCCTCTGAATTATTAACCTGTTTGTTATTTGTATAAATTTTGTTGAGCATGTACCAGTTACTATTCTAGTCTATGGGGATTCTGCCATGAACAAGCCAGATGAGATCTTCCCTAGAGCCTTTAGAGAGGACATGGTCCCACCAACACCTTGATTTTGGACTTCCTAGCCTCCAGAAGTCCAGAGAATAAATTTGTGTTGTTTTAAATCACCCAGGTTGTGATAATTTGTTATGGTAGCCCTGGTGCATGAAGGTAACCCTTTTATTCCTTGAATCTTATTAACCAATGATGTAGATTTCCATTTTGGAAATAGGCAGTCTAATTGTCTCCCACTTTGCAGGTAGGGAAACAGATTCTGGGAAGATGTGTAGCTTATCCCAGACTCCACAGAACATGGCTTCCGTAGCAGAGCCAGGACTCAAACCCTGGTCTCTCTCCCCCCGACATTTAGGCTCTCCCCATGATTCCCAGCTTAGAGACCTGGGTTTCTAGCAGTTGTTTTTTTTTTTTAAGTTTTTATTTAAATTCCAGTTAGTTAACACACAGTGTAATATTAGTTTCAGGTGTACAATAGTGATTCATCACTTCCATACAACACCCGGTGCTTATCACAAGTGCCCTCCTTAATCCCCATCACCTATGTAGCCCATCCTTGCCCCCACTCCCTACAGGTAACCATCAGTTTGTTCTCTATAGTTGAGTCTGTTTCTTGGTTTGCCTCTCTATATTTTTCCCTATGTTCATTTTGTTTCTTAAGTTCCACATATGAGTGAAATCATACTGTATTTGTCCAGCAGTTTCTACGAAGTCTTATGCATCTGTTTCTAAGGTCCTCGCTACCTTCCCTGCCTGTCACCCTGCAGAGACAAAAAAAGCAGCCCCTAGGGGACTTCTCCTTGGCAGGAGCCCCTCTTCCTCTTGGCTAATGAGGTGTCCTTGCATTAGGGCTGGCCCTGTTGTAAGACCAATGAGTCCCAGCTGGGATGAATGGACTTAGCTGTTTCCAGGGGTGCTCACTGCCACTTCTGTCTGCAGCAGCTGATAGGCCCTCTGCATCATTTGCTGAGGTCAGGGTGTTTCCCTCACTCAAGAAACCACAGCCCCTCCTCTGACCAGGCGAGGAAAGGCTTACCATTGCTTTCCTTTCTTTAGATGAGGTTTCCCCCCCTCCCAGATTTTAAAATGAATACGTGCTTTTTGAAAAAAAGAAAAGATAAAGGACAAAGAAAACAAAAATTACTTATATAATCACCAACTGTTTACTATTTCCAAATGTCCAGAAGGAAAAAAAAACTACATCTGGTTATGTTACATATACAGACACATACATTCCCAGAACAAATTCAACTGTGTTTAAAAAATAACATATATGGACTCTGCTCATGGAGAAATCGAGCCATCAGAACAAGTTTTGTACTCTATCCTAAGCATCTCCCCAGGTTGTCAAAATTTCTTTGTAAATACCATTCTCAACAGCTGCATCCTACTAGTCTGCTACGTGGATCACCCCTTATTAATCATTTATTATCTGTTACTAAGCATTCAGATTGCTTATAGTTTTTCATTAACTTAAAAAAAAATGGTTATGAGCATACTTGATATGTCTTTGTATACGTTTCTGATTATGCCCTTGACACGAACTTCCTGGGTCCAAGGTTACAGACATAACTTTTTTACAGCTTTATTGAGGTATGATTTACACAACATAAAATCTACCCACTGTGAGTGTATAATTCAGTGATTTTTAGTAATGTATACAATCATGCAGCCATCCCTATGGGTCAGTTTTAGAACACACTTATCACCCCAGAACATTTCCTCCCATTCCTTTGCTGTCAAACTCCCATTCCAGGCCCAGACAATACTGATCTATCTTTATAGATTTCCCTTTTCTGCCATTTCATATGAACAGAATCACACAATATATATTTTTCATATGGTTTCTTTCACTTAGTGTCCTGTTTTTGTGGACTGTTGTTGTAGCATGAATCAGGAAGGACATAGTTCCTTTTTGTTGCTGAATAGTGTTGTGTGGATGTACCACGTTGTGTTTATCCATTCACCTATCAGTGGAAATTTGGACTGTTTCCAGTTTTTGCTATGAATATTTGCTTACAAGTCTTTGGGCGTGTTTGCATTTCTTTTGGGTAGATACCTAGCAGTGGGTCATATGGCAAGTTTATATTTAATTTTTTAAAAAACTGCCATACTGTTTCCAAAGTCGCTGCCACGTGTCACATTCCCACCAGCAGTGTTATGAAGGTCACACTTGTTTTCCATCCTTGTCAACACTTGCCATTTCAATTCTATAGCCCTTCTAATAGGTGCGTATTGGTATCTCTCTGTGGTTTGAATTCTCACTTTCCTAATGACTTATGATATTGAGCATCTTTTCTTGTGCTTATCAGCTATTTGTGTCTCTTCTTTGGAGAAATGTCTAGTCAAATCTTTTGCTCATTTTTTAATTGGGTTATGTGTCTTCTTATTGTTGCTCTTCATATATTGTGGTAACATGTCCTTTATCAGATACATGATTTGGAAATCTTTTCTCCCCGTCTGGGGTTTGTCTTTTCTATTTCTTTAATGATGTTTGTTGAAGAACAAATTTTTTCATTTTGATGAAGTCCAATTTATCTTTTTTTGTGGGGGGCGGTTACCCTTTTTGGTGACTCATTTCAGAAAGCTCTGCCTAACATAAGGTCATAAAGATTTTCTCCTATGTTTTCCTCTAGAAGTTTTTTTAATATAATTTGAAATTGATTTTTTTCATTTTGAATATAGCCTGTGGTAATATAAAAAGAAAATAGAGATTAGCAAATGGAAGAAAATACAGAGCACTCATAATCCCACTGCTCAGAGATAAACCACTATTAATGTTTTGTTACATACGTCTATATTGGTTACCTATTGCTGCATAACAAATTATCCCCCAGATGTAATAGCTTAACACAGCCCACATTTATTATCTCAAAGTTTCTGTGGATCAGGGATCTGGGAGTACTTTTCTGGGTGCCTTTGTCTCAGGATCACTGACAATGCTGTGGTCAAGGTGTCAGTGGGGCGGCAGTCTTCTCAACACCTGACTGGGAGAGAATGTGTTTCCAAGCTCACTCATGTGGCTGTTGTCAGGCCTCAAGTCCTCACTGGCTACTGGTTGGGGACATCAGTTCCTTGCCATATGGGGCTCTCCAGAGGGTGACTGGCAACATGGCAGCTGGCTCCCCTAAGGGCAAGGGAGAGAGAGCAGGTGCTCAAATACAAGTCAGTCTTTATGTAACCCGGTCTTGGAAGTGACATTCCATCATTTTGGCCTTGTTCTGTTCATAGAGGTGAGTCACCAGGTCCAGCTCCCTCTAGAGGGGAGGAGGTTATCAGGAGGTGGGGATCATTGGGGACCGTCTTGGAAGACTGCCAAAATGTCCTTGTTCGTTTTCTGTTTTTCTAATGAAGTAGGTGGCGAATCTTTACCTGTGGAACATACAGATGTAGGAGCTCCTTTCTAGATTGTAGACTCTACTGGGTTGGAATCTCCATGGGTGGGAAATGCCCCGCCCTGCCACCGGAAAGCTGTCTTGTAAAAACTCCACAGGTCATTCTAATGGGAGCCAGGGTTGAAGATCACTGGCAAATTTAAATGTAAGTGGATGTGCCTCCGTATGGATTGCAACTGTGCATATTGTTTAGAACTACGTTTTTCCCCTCAAATAGCCTGGAATACAAATGTGGCCTCAGTTCCCAGTGTGGGGCCACCATTTCTGTTCCTCTACTCCTCAGGGAGCCATGTTTGAGGGTCACTTTGCAGGCAGAGCCCCAGCAACCTGGCCTGATAATCATGACCTTCACTTTTGGGGGCTTCAGAGTAGCCAAGCAGGCGGCAGAGGCTGCCTGCCCCCATGTTTGGCTCCGGAGCAGCTCCGACATCAATCCATCAGCCCAGAGGACACTTTTAGATGCAAGTCTGCTGGTGTGGGGACTTTACGAGAACAGGAATCCCTGGCTGTGAAATCGCTGGCATTTCATGATGTGGGAGAAGATTTACAAGCTCCTGCTGTGCTGGCTCTAAATTGTGGCCCAGCAATTATGCAATCAAGCCTGTGAAGCAGGCAGAATGTGAGGAGGTAGCAGGTGGGAGACAGGGAAAGCTACCACCCCACTGTGCCTGGGACCCCTGGCTCCAGCCATGCACCCAGGGGGGCTTGGTTCAGGGTTCCTTCAGGGGAGGAGTCATGCAGTAGTCATGAGTGAACGAATGGGCATGTAGTATTATGTGAGGTCATGGGCTCAGAATGGAAGGAGTTTCAAAGGGTCCCCCCTGGTGCTCCTTTAACACCTTCCTTGCTAAGAGGCCATTCTGCTTCTGCTCAGTATTCACCCCTACCACCCACTGCAAAGAAGACACCTGCCACACACTCTCCCATAACCCTATTTTTTTTTTGCATAATCCTATCTCTACTGAATATATATTGACTTTTTATTTTTATTTTTTTATTTTTTTCTTATTTGTCTTCCCCAGTAAATATAAATTCCCTGACAGCAGGAACCTTGTTTGTCCGACACTCAAATTATTGCTGGACCTTAATACCTATGTGTTGACAGAGTAAATGGATGAATGGATATTTGGATACTTCTAAGGGTGGGGAACTCAGTACCGTACTTGACTGTTGACTCTTCCTTAGCTTGCTGCCACCTACCTCCATGTGGCCTTCCTTCACTGTCCTCCCTTGTAGGGCTCCTCCGAATAAGCCCACTCCTCTCCCCTATTGGAGCTGGAGTTCAAGGTTTGAAAACAGTGACCACCCACATGTTTCTGAGATGAACGTTACCATTTCTTTTGGCTGTCCCTCACATGTCAGTGCTATCTTTGTTACCCTCCTCTGAAGGGCTCTGGTGGGTCACTCTCCCTCAGTAAGTTAGGTTAACTTGGCAGTTTGCAGAATTTG